TTTATTTTTTGTTCTCTTTTTCCCCTCTTTTTTTTGTTCTCTTTTCCCCCTCTTTTTTTCCGTTCTTGTGGTATTTTTTGGTGCGTGTTTCGTTTCTTTAATCTTTTTTGGTTTTGTGTGTGTCCCCAAGTCCTAATCTCCTAGTCTCAAGATGAGCCTTAGGCTTATTATAGTCCCCATTGGCTCTTCATTTTCAGAATCAGCAGGTTTAGGTTGAAAGGCAATCTGGGAAGCTGTCAACAGCTGTGAGCAGTGGTATGAAACCACCGTGCCAGTTGGCAGCCTCTGCTGAAGAACAAGCCGTGTGTAGGATGGGATGAGGTTTGCCGTTGTGAGACATGCATGAGTTTAACACCCGATTTCTATATATGCGATTCCTGTCTCTCCTAAACGTTATTATTTTTCCAGTTACTCTTATTGCGGTTTTACATGTACAAAGGTATTTCAGGTTGTGAAATTTAAAATCACTTTCATTTGAAATCACTGGAAGTTATTTTTGCAAAGAAAAAAAATCATTGTTCTGGTGGCATAGTACAGCTTTTCGTCAAAAAGCATGCCAGATAAATATCCGCAGATGGAAAAAGCAAAAGCAAGTGGCATTAGTAGAATGCTTCACTGCTGTTTTATTGCCTTTAAAGCCAATCTTGTTTCTACTGAAGCAAACCTTTACTGATTCCTGCAATGGCAGAGGTGCTGACTCAGGACAGACCACAGCATGCACAGGGACTGTCCCAAGGGCATGCTTAAAATCTTCCCTGAATCAAGACTTTAAAGCACACGCTCCTTGGGATTTGAACTCCCATATCCTATAACTTCTAAGTACTGTATGTAAAATACTAATGTTTAAAAAGAAATGTGGATCAGGATTTAAAAAAGGAATTCCAGAAACGTTTCCTACAAGTGTTCAAAAGTAATTTAATATATTGAATATTAAATAATATTAATCCTAAAATATGGATGAATAAGTAACAGTGTTGCATGCTCAGTAACTCCCACCCAGCAATCCCTTGAGTCCTATTTTTGAAAATACTTGTCCCGGGCTTTGGATTTTTTTTTTTTTTTTTGATGAATGAATACATATCAGGGCAAAAAATAGGAGAAGCTTCATGCTTTCTGCATTAATTTAGCAATGTTTTGTGGAGTTTGGAAAATGTTAATGAAAATTTTGAATGGAATACATGGTAATGAAGTATAAAAATCTTACAGGTCTAATACTAAATACATGCTTTACCTATGTTAGAGGGGGATATGGGAGACCGAAGCAGAAATAATTAGAAAAGCTTAGTTACTTCTAATCTTTGTAATTTTACAACACATCTTGAATACTGAAATGAAGCATGACTATTTTCTCTTTCAATTTTTATATTCATTACATTCTAATATTGCAGATAAAATTGTAGTTTTCAGTTACATATTAATTTTAAACATCATTAAATAATCTATAATTGCAGTAAATTTACATAAATTCACTTCATAATGCATATCTGAAACATTTTACTTAAAACTTATCTGAGTTTTGGAAGAAGATTAACACATGATGATTCCAAACAGAACATTGTCATTTTTTTCTGTAGACCTGAAGAATTAACCTAATCATTCCTGTTAAGAGATGCTCTGTTAGAGATTCCAGAATTTTGCCAGCTCAGTGAGGTTCTTGACAGCTTTTCAGGTTGTATTTCGTTCTGTTCCTGACAAACAAACGGCAGTAGGAATAAGCAATTCTAGCAAACTTAAAAAAAAAAATAAAAATTAGAATGAGTGACTTGTTTGTTCCTAAGTTGTAGTAGTTTAAGGGGAAGTCTTCTGGACATACCTATTGTGAAGAAAAAATAAAAACCTTATCAAGAATGTAGTAATTATGGATGGAGATCATGAGGGCTGGTTTCCTGTCAAGTCACACGTACTCACCCGCTATAGTACGACATTCGGGTATGGATTTCTTGAGATTCCCTTAACACCGCCACCACCACCAATGCAAAATTGTACCAGGGAATCCTCTACAGATGGGCAGGCGTTTAAGTGAGTGCTGCAAGGTACAGAAAGCTTAACTCTGAAATTTTGTGTATAAATACAAGAAAGATACAGGACAAAAATCATCTTACCTGGACGGTGGTGGTTAGTCCGTATGTAGTACAGTGGGCAGATATCCACACCAGGCAAAGAGTAAAACACTGCGTTACAAATCATGCTGTCATTGCTACCTTCTCGGGAGAGGCCAAGAGCAGAAGTGCTTACGCTCCTGCGTGGCCTGTGGCTTCCTGTATGGCACGTGGCTGATGGAAACTTGCACAGCTGATTACTGGTGGTGGTGTGAAGACTTCTGTCATCTTTGATCAGCTTCAAATGTACCTGATAAGTGTAAAAGCGTACCTTCATCAGCGTTCCCACAGGACGTGTGTGCTCATGAGAGGGACTCCTGGAACGTGCGCAAAACCTTCCCTTGCATGTATTGCTACAAGGTGACATGGCTTCTTGTTTTTTCTTTTCAGGGACACATTGATAGTCACGTGTACCAACAGTGCCACAAGTATATTTGCAGGCTTTGTCATCTTCTCAGTTATTGGCTTCATGGCAAATGAGCTCAAAGTGAATATTGAAGCTGTGGCAGACCAAGGTAGGGTACACTGCCATTTCGTTACTTAGACAAGCACCTGGTGGCACCTTCAGCTCTATTATTAATGATGACATTGACATTGGAGGTGGGAATAATGGCTCCAAACTGGAGTGGATTAGTAAACCACTTGTTGGCATTTCTGTACGGGAGAAGGTACACCACTGGGAAGTGAAGATATTACTTGGAGCCTCTTTATCACTCGTTTGGTAAGAGGAGGAAACGAGCTGAGACGCATTTCAAATCTTTATGTCAATGACTGATGGGAGGTAAGGTGAGATGTCTCCTTCACATACTCTAAGTGGTGACTGGTCTTCTCATCTGTCTCTGCTGCTGTTCGTCAAATCCTTTTCAAGGTAAAAGGTGTCCCCGGTGGTGGGAATCTTGGATGAGAGGACAGTGGGCTTCGTGATGTGGGGGGTGGGAGAAATACAGTGCGAGAGGTGGATTGAGCTTCTGAACTGTGGGGAACAAGGAGCTGCCTCCATGGGAAAGTAAAAGATTTCTGAAGAACGGATTAGAAGATCTCGGTTAGTGAAGTGAGATGGTTAGAAATGGGGATCTGAAAGGTCTTAATTGGTAGAGCTGAATGGGAGCGAGAACAGTGTGACTGATGGAAGAATTGGTGCTGCCGTGTATGATTTGGTATGAAGTAGCGGGAGGTAGGAAGGGAAGAGCTTTTGGGGTAAGGAGCTGAAAAGTTTAAGGGGTTGTAAAAATCTGATGGGATTGTAGAGGGATAATTGTTACCTTAGTCTAGTCCTACATTTCCTGTGAAATGTGCAGCACTTTGCTTCTAAGCCAGCCAACCCCCAGATCTTTAAGATAATTTTGAACTGTGTTAAAAAGACAAATTTTTAAAAACTTTGTAATAGCTTTTATACGTATTTACGATTTCCCCCACCATAGCTGTTTCTGTGAGCACATGACAGTGTTAAGTGTATTGTATTAGCTTTCAGCACAGATACAGTCATTTCCAAGCACTGAAGGAAAGTCATTAATAGCTTCTCCATGAGCCCTGGGGATGGTTCCCAACGTTATCCCTGCAACCCATGATAGCACAGAGCAAGAGGAGGCTCTGAATGGGAGAAGGACAGCAGAGTTGAAAAAAATGAATGTCGCATACTCATGGCTTCTATAAGTGACGTGTCTCACTGTCTGCATTAATGTGAAGACACGAAACATTTTTCTGACAGGTTTGTTGTGTGAGTAAATTCAATGCCACAAGGTGCTACATGTAGCCTAAGGTACCTGACTGACTGAGCATTGTGATTCAGAAATGGTAGCAGTGAGTTGACAATAGGGGATAGATACCAAGACACCCTTCCATAGTTTCTGTATGGTAATATTCATAGATCATTCTGGACAAATTAGGTATGAAGGTTAATCTGCATTTAACAATGTTGTGGGAGCTAAATGGAAAACAGGCAACATGAGCTGGGGACACAGAAATCCTGTAGTTGTAGGAACAAGAGCCGGTGAAGAAGATGAAACATTCTTTATTTTTTCTTGAAAAATACCTTTTCTCGGAACACTAATGTTTGTAATCGTTTATTAGAAACAAGCTACTACAGGTGAAATGAGGAGAACAACAGAAGAGGGAACAAGATCTTGCTGCTGGTTAAGAAAAAGAAAAGGCTTTTAGTTTTCTTTTGCTTATTCCTTATCTGTAAACTGAAATGTGGGTAATCCCACAGAATTTGTGGTACTTCTGACCTCAGTGAGATGTAAATAAAGGTGCTGGGTCACATTCAATTTCTGCAGCTCCCTTGGTTGGTACATGGCAGCCCAGATGTTGAGGTGAGGGGAAGCTTGTGAGCTGCAGTTCAGTCACAGGGAGTTAGTCTGGGGCTTGCACCAGTTGACCCATTGTGGGATGGGCTGCTAACTGGCCTGCAGATTCAGCCAGAGGGTCTGAGAGGAGAATTTCATCGGATGGTCAGCCAGCAAACTGTTTCTTGATAGCAAGTAGAATCATAGAATGGTTTGGGTTGGAAGGGACCATTAGAGGTCATCTAGTCCAACCCCCCTGCAACGAGCAGGGATATCTTCAACTAGATCAGGTTGCTCAGAGCCCCGTCCAACCTGACCTTGAATGTTTCCAGGGAAGGGGCATCCACCACCTCTCAAGGCAACCTGGGCCAGTGCTTCACCACCCTCAGCGTAAAACTTTCTTCCTTATATCTAGTCTGAATCTACCCTCTTTTAGTTTAAAACCATTATCCCTTGTCCTATTACTACAGGCCTTATTAAAAAGTCTGTCCCCATCTTTCTTAGAAGCCCCCTTTAAGAATTGAAAGGCTGCAATAAGGTCTCCCCGGAGCCTTCTCTTCTCTAGGCTGAGCAACCCCAACTCTCTCAGCCTGTCCTCACAGGAGAGGTGCTCCAGACCCCTTGTCACTTTTGTGGCCCTCCTCTGGACCCGCTCCAACAGGTCCATGTCTTAGTCGATGTCAAGTAGTAGGGGATACTGCACCTGCAAGTTAATGTAATATCAATTCAGTCTTCAGCACTTTGTCTCTTCTTTCTGGTCTGCCAGTCAGCTAAGTGGGAACAGAAAAATTTCATTCTCATCCCTGTTTTCTGGCTGGATTAGACCATTATGTTTGAAAAACTCCATTTGAGGCCAGGTGTTTTAGGAGTAATGTTTCCATTAATCTTTTTATTTTAGACTTTACCTCCATCCTGAAACAAAGAAACAAGCAAAACCAACCCCAAAATCTAAACCACACTGTACTCACCAAAATTATTTGTAAGGAGTTCGAGTCAAAGAAGCCATGCTTGAGTGAAGCTGCAGTGGAAGCTACAAAGGGCTGGACAGAGGGGACTGAGAGACGTAGCTGTTAGGCATGGTGGAGGAAACACTTGGTTCAGCTGGTTCATCTCCCTGGAGATGGCATAATATTTAGCACAGGGGGTGGCAAACCCTTTTCTGTTGAGTGCTTGGTGGTGGTCTTTGAATGAGCAGCTAGTCACAGGCTGGAGCTCTCTGTTCCCAGCTGTTTCAGCAGCTGTGTCAGGGGATGTGAAAAAAGCTGTCACGAGACAATCTTATTGTAGGGCTGTCAGTGTGTTTGTAAGAGTCCGTTTAGGCCATTTAAAAATATTTCACGAGGGTGAGACTTCACTTTCTCCATGGTAGGGGGAAACAAAATTTAGTCCCGTACGAGAAGACGACAGTAGGAAGAGAGTAAAGATCAGGGATAATTGCAGGCTGAGTTAGCACATTGAATTAACAGAATTAAAAAGCAGACTCAGCAAGTGGGGAAAAGAGCCAGCCCTTGTCCCTGCCTACCTTTTTTTAATTCTAACATTGCATTTCTTTTTGCAGCGGAGGAGAAAACAGCAAAAATTATGATGATCTCCCTTCAAGTTTTTAAAACCTTGAATGAAATTCTTAATGGAAATGAGAAGGGATATTTTTCCCCCTCCTAAAATATGAATGTGAAACACACAGTATTTTTCTCATTTAGAGTCTTCACTTCAGGAAAAACTCATATACCTGATGAACAAATAAGGTTTTTCACTGAGGGAAAGACAGGACAATCTATTTTAGTTCTACTCTCACGGTTTGATTAAGAACATACTGCAGTTGAAAAATTTTAGTAATTTAAAATGAAAGATCAAGGTCATTTGACTTTTTTCCTTTCAACATATATAAAACCTTTGGAGTTTTCCTGGTTTAATAGACTTTTAGAAAGAGTTCATACCCACCTAAGTCTCCGAAGATGGAGAGGATGGGAGCCAGCCTCCCTGTGACTGTTTACCTGTGGTTGGATGCTAGCAGGCACATGATATCTTGAAGAGTTACGAGGGGCTGAGATGGAGAGATGTGCAGTTTCATATTCTATAATTAAACTTTTCCTAAAAGTGTGATTAATGGGAACTCATTATTCTGAGACTTAATTAAACTTCTACACGCAGGAAGCTAGTGCAAACAGAGCCCTTACCTCTAATAGTCAAGAGGAAATCTCTAATCAAGAGATGAAAGAACGTGTTCACGAATACATAGTAGTCCTACATGCACCTTCCTATTCCAAAAAGCCATTTTTCTGCAGCACATTTTAAAGGCAGCAACACATACTGAGTCACGTACAGTGGTGGTGGTTCTTTTTTACTGTGTTGTTAACTCTTGTATTTGTCTTTTGTTCAGAAGGAACTCCAAACACTTCACAAGTTGCCCGTGGAGATTATTTCACATGGTGCTAAAACTGTGTTTTTCTTAGTACATGAGAAAGCAACAGTCCTCTCTCGAGCAGAAACAGCGTGGGGAGCTGTAGGAAATGGGATGCAATAATCTAGGTTTGAAATGGCCAGGACAGAGCGAGTTTGGAGCCCCTTCTTGGGGTCATGGCATCGGTACAACTTGGTTTTTATTTGTATCTCGCCTGACAGGAAACATCCTTCAGAGCATTTGAAGTGGGCGCTCCTTCAGCTGGGATAAATAGAGAAGAAGTGCCCTCTACTGTAATGCTACCACCACATTCCTGCAGCCTTTTCTCCCAGGCAAATCTAAGCATACTTGTAAAAATATTTTTTCTTTACAGTCAATAAAAATTATAGCCCAAGATATCAAACCAACAGAGAAAGGAAAATTTCCTCGTTAAGCCTTTAAAAGACCCCATCCCCTTATTTTTTCTGCTGCGCATTATTTCAGAATTTCTTGTGGATTTTTTTAGGTTCACGTATTACCTTGTGTCTGGTATCAGCTCTGTGCATCTGTTACGTTCTCTCCTTCTCATCTGACTGTGTGCTGATGAGTTAAAGAAGAGTATTTTCTTTTCCCTTCATCCTTGTCGTACTGAGGTGTGGATGATGGCTGTGTTGATCTAAGGCTGGGTTGCTAATTGGCAGGAGCAGTGGTAGGAATTTGATCACAGAGCAGGAAAGAAACATAGCTGCAGTACACAATTTCTCTTTATTTTTCATATTTGGATCAGTATATTAGTATACTGGTTAAATATGTATTGTGCAGCTTGGAAAGTAGGAGTGTGTGAGTGTTTTGAAACTTAGAGCCAAAATAGAAATTAATCACGTGAGGCTAAATTCTGCAATGGTTAAACCTTTCTGTAAATAGGAGAGACTGAATCGGGTCTTTTTTACTTTTATCAAGCGAAGTAATATTGTATTAGACTTTGAAACATGACTCTTCACGTCTCCCTCTTTTCCATCCAGTCAACAATGCTAACACAATGCAAAATATCACAGCCTTTATTCTTCTCATTTCTAGGTCCCGGAATTGCTTTCGTGGTTTACCCAGAAGCCTTAACTAGGCTTCCCCTCTCTCCGTTCTGGGCTATAATATTCTTTTTGATGCTTCTGACACTTGGATTGGACACTATGGTAAACTGCTTTTGTTTCCCATTCTTTTCCTCTTGCTTTTCCTATTTATTCGTTTGGAGGGACTGTGAGATTAATCGCTATTTTCCATGTGGTCAGTGAACTGCTTTCCAAAAAGAGGAATGAAGTAAGGCCATCAATGCTGAAATCATTTGGGTGAAGCTTTGGCGTTGACATCTGAGCATTTAACACCTAGGACTTGAAATACTCTCTCTCGTATTCCTTTATATCCAGTTGGACCACTTTGTGTACATTGTGTGCACTGAAATGAATCCCTTTATTTTGCCTTTCAGTTTGCCACTATTGAGACTATAGTGACCTCCGTTTCGGATGAGTTCCCCAAATACTTACGTACGCACAAGGCACTGTTCACTCTTGGGTGCTGCATCTCCTTTTTCATCATGGGATTTCCTATGATCACTCAGGTAATAATATTGCCTTTGAGCATCAGTCTGTCCCCACTCCCCCTCTGGTGGCCGTTCTCCTCCTGCACAAGTTGCAAAAGATTAAGCTGAATTCTGCCGCATGCGCAAAGACACCGGGTGTGTCTGAAAGCCTTATTTATTGTGGTTTTTTTTTTTTATGAATGCACTGACTGACACATTTAAAAGACTTTGCTGTTCAAATCTTTCTGAGAATCAGACTTCTAAAAATTTATCCCTAGCCAAACATCTCCAAAGTAGTCATGTAAGTTATGTATTCATTTAAAAAAAAAAAAAGTTTGTATGTCCTATAAATGTGCACACCAGTTTTGGGCGCCTTCCCTCCCGGAATAGATATATACTGATAGTCTTAGCAAATGGTGGAGTTAATAATGAAATAATTCTCATCTACCATTGATAGTCTTCAGTGTCTTTTGTCCACTAAGTCCTCCAGCATTATAAACTCTCAGCAATTTCAAGAGGAGGTGCACAAAATCTATCTTACCATTCATCCTTTTCCCTCCTTTTTCTTTCTTTCCCCTGACCTCATCACCTACCAGCCCAACTTTGCTGTTCCAAAGCCTAGGATAGATTCATTCCTTCCTTCCCTTGAATTATACTGCTTAACCTTTGCCCTGAAGATAGGGCATTATATCCTTTCCAAAGAGATGAACTGAGCTCACTATCACAGTATTCCTGGTTTCAGTGGTGATTTTGCTTTTGATGCAGTATTAAGTGGTTAGAGACACTGCTGGTGGAAGGTCTGAAAGGGCTGAAACCAGTGTCTTCCCAAGGTGTGTTAGCTACCAGACTCAGGTGTACCCTCTGCTTTTTTCTTGTTGGGTTCAATATTTATTCAGCCGCAAGGAAGAAACTAGTGCAGCATGAGCCTGTGTCCGGTCAATGTTTGGATGCTTATTTGGGATACAGAGTCCTGGGTCCTGCTCCTGTCCATTTTGCCTACCTTATAGCGCCAGTTAGAGTTGTGACACATGTGAAGAGAGAGACAGCTATATGCCACAAGTAATGGCTATTTTCTCCTTTTTTTCCTTTAGGGTGGAATGTATATGTTACAGCTTGTGGACACTTACGCAGCTTCTTATTCTCTTGTCATCATTGCCATCTTCGAGCTTGTCGGAGTTTCCTATATATATGGTAAGAAAAAATACTGTTCTTGGACAGCCTATGTCAAAGTAACATTTTAGCACATGGTAAAGTAGCTGGTAACATGAAATTCTTAAGGAAAGGAGTAACACTTTATTTTAATTTCTTTTTAATAAAAAGCCTCAGAATTTTCTTCTTTTGAATGGAAGCATAATGGGGCTTCATTACTATAGGATTCCTTTAAATACATGTATTCAAAACACTTTCTTATAGTCTAATGTCCCTTTTCCACCAGTAGCTTAAAGCCAATGATTAGAGATGAGTATAAGAATAGACCAAGCATTTAGTGACACTTCTCCAGGGGTTCTTTCACGCTCCAACAGTTTTAGGCTCAGAGACTTCCTGAGCCAGAGGTGGTATCTTTGCATTTAACAACTTTTGAAGGATTTATTTTCCGTGTACACTTCCAGCCTTCCCTTTAGCCCCTCTCTCCATAACAGAAAATCGAGACCATGCAGCTACTCAGTTATTCATTATGCACAGTGGCAACACCAGTTATATTGATCCATGTTGACATACGTTAAATTATAAGGAAGATCCTCGGCTAGCATAAAGCAGTGCAATTATCTTGATGCTACTGTAGCTATGTCAGCTGATACCAGCTGGTGATTTGCTCCCAGACTTGTCCAGTGCTTTCAGGAGATTCATTCTTGGAAATGTGTGATTTCATATGGTCGTAGCAGGAAATGTGAAGATCTCCCTGCATAACAGATGATTAATTTATGTCTGGAGTGCGGTGGTGCCACTTAAGACTTGTCTTCAAAAGCAAAGGAAGGTCTGAATCTCAGCGTTAAAGATAAGGCTCTTTCCCCTGTTGCTATGGACCGGAATGAATTATGTATTTTCTATCATCTAGATATAAACAATCCTGAGATGTTCTGTTGAAGGTGCATATTAGCAGCATGATCTTAGGCTCTAGTCCTGCGCACCGAATACTTCGCTCTATCTACATTGTGGGGTCCACTCTGTAATATAAATGCATTAAAAAATCATATGTAATTCAAAACACGCAGAATTTGTTGCTCTTGCTTGAGAAATGAATGTTATAGACAGGACAGGGAATAAGCCCTTCCTTGTTTTCTCTAATTTCATGGAAATACAGAAGTGTATTTTATCTCTACTGACATCCAATCCAGTGAGCGGGCTTGAGTGGTTTGTGAGCTGAGTCAGATATGACCTAGCGAGGAAATGTTACAGAATACAATGGAAAAAGTTAAAGCACCAAGAGAAAAGTTGATTTACACCGATCAAGTTTTGGTTGATCAAAATGCTCGTTGTTTTTTATGTCCCTGAAATGTAAATGTTTTAATTAGAGTTGGCTTAGAAGTGTAATCTCTGTGAGTGAAATGATACTGGTAACTGCTATCAGCTTTACATTCAGCCAGTCTTCTCAAAGGACCCGAGTGTAATGCTTTGGGATATCTCCTGAAGTGAAGTCGAGAGACGGAATTTGGGGATTATTTAGCAGAACTCCTGGTTTGAAAATCAATGCTGGCAAGTTGTGCCGTTGCTCTGTGCTTCAGTTTCCATGAAGACATGCAAGGTTTGCCCATCCCGTCCCCCCACTTACCACCAGGTTTAGCATTTACCCGTTCCTGTGGAAGCGCCGTCGGGTACGTGTCATCTGAGACATTAGCGTCTGGTTATCGTACTGACCAATTTCCCAGCTTTCCTAAAATCAATGCAATTCCATAAAAGATGGTGAGTGGGAATGCTCAAGAAGAGTATAAGGGTTTGTTGGGTTTTTTTTTTTCCCTTCTTCCTCCTCATCCGTTTGCTGAGCGCATGCCTGAACAACGCTGTGCTAAAGCACTAGATGTTGTCACTCTTCCTGGCCAGCAGTATCTACAGCATCACCCGGTCTGTGCCAAAAAGATTGCCCCCTTTAAAGCCGTTGCCTTCACTGTGCAAGATAAAAATTCCTGGCTTAAAATATTTTTAAATAACCCCAAAACTACTTAAATCTGTAGAATTCCTTCGTTCTGTATGTTTTTAAATAAGGATGAAGGTAAACGGAGCACATGCTGGCTCTGTTCCTCCTCTGAACGCTGTGTGGCAGAAGCACTACAAACCTGCCTTTGTGGAACAACATTTTATTAGGCTTGTAAGCAAAATCGCTCTGCCTAGTGCCTGCTTTGCCCAACAAATTCGGTATCCCTTAAAACACTGGCTTGTATGAAAAACATAAAATAACTACAGAAATAGTTACAGCGCTGCAAAGGAAGGACTGGAATAGAGGAGAACTTTTTTTGTTAGTTACATATTACTTGAATGTCATCAGACTTGGAAAAAATCTGCTGATTACAAATCATTCTTTACATGCTTTCTGTACCAACTGATTGTTAAACAACAGATGTTAGTAAAGCCTTTGATATAAACTATTTCAAAGATTATTCCCTGGAGTTAACCTTTTGCTAGACTACAGAGCTTCCAGTTTTTTAGCACAAAAAAAGAAAGATTTAATTTACCATCATTATCTGCTTGACTAATGTATCATAGCTACTTCTGCTGCACTAAAGCTACTTTTCTAAGGACTGTTCATAGAAATACAGCTTGTATATTTGTGATTTGCATGTTGTAAATACAAGTGAAGCTGCTGCTCTTGCTATATTCCTTCAAGCGGTGCTTAGAATTGGCACAATATATTTTCAAGCTCTGATAATTGCTGTTTTGCGCTCCACTGACACCTTTCTCTGTATACTTGTACTCTTCATAGCAAGCAGGTTGGCACAATAGTGGCAGATGCTTTTATGATGAAATAAATCTGTCTTTAGTTCTTCTTACATGTTCTGCTTGCTGAGCTTGTTGAGATTTTTAAATTAAAAAGAGGCACACGGTTATTTCCTTGAAATAATTTATTTTTCTGTAGAGTCAATGCTACATAATCCAGTCAAATGCTGTTTTTTATTTCACATGCTGGTATAGATGTTTTTTTATCCAGTTGTTGTAATCCAGTTGTTTAGATTATGATGCATGATTGGTAAAGAATAGCTTAGAGCTGCGGGTATTAATTTAATCATCAGCATAATTCCCACTGTTGCATTTTGTAACGTGAAGCTAAATACAAAGATCCTTGTGCTTGAGCAAAACACCGTTGGAAACTGAAAATGTATGGCCCTAACTTTACTCCTGCTCCTTCTAGATCTGTTTTTTGTCAGTCTGTTGTTGGGAGGGTTTGTTGTCAGAGCAAGTGGTAACTGCTGCAGTGTCTTTGTAGAAAGTGTTAGTAATTTTGAACATTTTACCTGTAGCAGAATATTGAAGTAGCTGTCTGTGTCTGTTTGCATTCTCCTTTTTAATGGGTTTTATATCTGCAGCACTTATGAATACATCATCCTACTTTAGAGAGTGGAAATTGAGATATGGAATATCATGTACTGTTTATTTCCCGAAGTTATTCAGCAGGTCTGACTGATCTGAGGGGGAGACGAGATATACTGAGATTTAATCATCTTTCTGTTAACTAAAGCATCCATTGCATTTTTCTGTGCAACTTGACGAATCTGTTTTCAGTCTTTCACCGGGAAAGAGATGAGTACTGTGTAACCCCTGTATCTGTTTACATGTATTTGACTCCTGAACTGGTAATATTTAAAGGTGCCTGAAGCTGTGAATATCCACCAACAATTCCAAGAAGGAACTAAATTTTTTAATTGGAGTTTCAAGCAAATCTGTGCAGATTTGCGTGAAGCTTGCATGAATTTTGGAGGCAGAAGCCCTTGCTGGTAACTATCCAATGAGGTCTGATTCCTTTGCAGCAGCAAGTGTGGCTGAAGTAGAGACACTCGGATGAGCTTTTAACTTTGTGGAAAGACCCTTCAGCCCATACCTTGAGCTGCTGCAACTAGCTTAAAACTAGTTTTGTTCCCACCACAGCATGCTGCAGGGATGAGCGCTGTGTGAGCATCTCCCAAGTAGCTTGCTGCAGACGGTGCACTAAACTGTAATAAGCAGGTAAATAAAACACAGAGGCAAATCATTCAGTTGCAGCTAAGATCTCCTTTCGGGTCCGTAACACAGTGGCCCTGGGGGTTACGGTCGGTCCAAGCATGCAAAGCTCTATTACAAAATGGAGAAGCACACGATGAGTCAGACAGGTGCTGAAGTACGGTGATTGCATGGGTTGTAAAAATTACATGTACTTTACAGAGAAGACAAGAGGCTTTCTGAAGATGAGCATTGGCTGTAGTCAGTGGAAAAGAGAAAAAGAGGGAGAGAAATTACGGTTACAGAAAAAAATGTGACATCTGGGTCACCTTGGGTTAGTTTTCTAATCTTACATCCGCTGCAGGTTGTACTTTTCCCCTCCCCTAAACACAGTTCTTGCAATACCATCTTCTTGTTTAATTTCTGGATTTTTCTTCTCTTTCTTATCATAACACAGTTTTTTATTAGCTTTTCTCTGACACGATATCTGCCTGAACTGGCTTACTCTGTGCTCACCCTCTGAGCTGAGCCTGTAGGGCTGCCCTAGCAGCGTCTAGCCCTGCTGCTTTCTTAGACGTGCATCAGAAGACACTGAATAATGAACCATTGCTATTTTTTTACCTTGTTAATTCTTGGAACAGTCAGGTGGATAGATTTATTTCTCCTTGATATCAACAGAAAGGCTTCAAAATTAGGTGGATCAAGCCTGGGGATTATCCCTTCTTACGTTCAGCAGCTGCAGTGGCTGGCTATAAGGGCAATAAGAACATAAAGCAGTTTATTACTTTTGTTCCAAGTATTTCCTCCCTTACTCAATGACTTCTTTCCAATATTTAAGCTCCATCTCTGTCCCCACATCATAAAAGTTAAAGTAAATGCTGTACTGTAATGCTTTGTAAAATCTAAATGACAGAGACAATCACCTGCTTTATTAGATAAAATTGGCCCAAATTTGTTTGTGTGACAGATGAGCTCAGCCTTGGACCCCAGAACTCCCTCGTCGTACCAACATTAGACAAGCTGGAACAAATTTCAGTTTTGTTTTTATTACTTTTGGATAAATTACTAATAGCTGTACTGAGTAGGGGCCATTTACCGGAAGAGCTCTGCAGAACGAGGCTGAAAAGCAGGCTGCCTTTTGTCAGGTGGGCAATAGCAGCTGCTGGGCCAGCGCACCTCTTCCAGTCCCGTGGCACGGCCAGGGAGACAGCTGCGGAGACGGCTCAAATACCATCTTCCAGTCTTGCGTGTTTTATTAACTCAAGTAACTTTATACATGCAGTCAGCACAATAATCTGAAGAATTAACATGTCAGTCGATCTGTTTGTTCAAACAACATCGATATAATTTAAAATATTTACAGGTGCTCTCTAATAATTCCAAGTATTGCTTACATATCAGTTGAAAAATAACAGGACGTTATCGGTTTCTATGCTGAGTGATGCAGTTGTACCCCAGTCACGTAGTAGGTATAGAGAAGCTCAGTCCATGCTGAAACAGGGATACAGATATTAATAAGGTTCATCTTCACAGTGAAATATAACAAGTATACACGTAATTGCAGCAAACAAGTGCGTACTATTAGTGCTTTAACCTGAGACATACTGAACACTTAATCTCTATGTAAAAGCTCAGTTCTGCTTTAATCCATAGGAAGTAAATATTTTATTAGAACGATACCCACCATAATAGTCTCATTTTTTACTGTGTGGTTAGATGCTCCATTGAAGTTTTCAACCAACAAGTCAGAGTTTATTTTTGTAATTAGACACAAGGGAGGTCACAAGAGCTGTGTTGCAAATTGCAGCTGGTTTCTTTCACACCTAACTGCATTTACGTTTGCTATTTACAGGCTTGCAAAGATTTTGTGAAGATATAGAAATGATGATTGGATTCCAGCCAAGTAAATTCTGGAGAGTCTGTTGGGCGTTTGTGACCCCAACTATTTTAACAGTAAGCAGAATTTTTTTCAATGTCTTCTCCAAAGAGTTTTGTTGTTGTTTCTTCGTCATTCACGATGGTTCTGAACGGCAGTAATCAGATCTTGGATGCAAATACCCAGAGACACATGCATGTGTGTGCACACACGTGTTCTTGCATGTGCGTGTAGTAGATGAAACAGAGCGTAAGTGATGGTATTTTGGGTAGAGAGGGATGGTGAGTCTCCAGATGCTGCTATGGTAGCCTTTCCCTGTCTGTGCAAAACCCTGGTACGGCATATCATTGCATAGCAGCATCTTTGAATATTGTACGCAGGGGTGTGGGTGGGTAATATATATATGTACGTCTACGTACACATAGAGAGGGCGAGGAAATGACATGATCCTCCTGTCTGTTCTCAGGTTGAGCTAGGGAAAAACCGTTTTATTGAGTCATCAACTAACCTGAGGGGCATGCTTTGGAAAGGCTTACGTGGAAATTTGAGCGACAAAGTTTTAGTTGCAAAGATGGAGATGTTTTTGGAAAGGTCGAAATGGTTACGTTCTCGATAACCACTATAAATCCCTGCGGTTTCTCGGGGCGGGGGGGGGAAGAAAAGCAAAGAGGAACTTTTGTTTCCGGACCCTTGAGGCACTGGGGCAGTGAATGCCCGCTCGCCACTTCGCGGC